TTCTCATATCAATAAATAGAACTGACTAATCCTAAAGTAAAGGGTCGATAAATTTATAACAACTATTCTCGAATAACTTTAAATCAGGTTTCTCTTTCGCACTATTACGAATATGAAATGAAAATAATAAAAAAAGTTGGATTGAACGGAATTAATAAGATAGATATATAGGAATTATTGTAGCAATAATTAAAAATTATATATGTGTGTGTGTGTGTGAAGGAGAAGATAAAACAAAATAAGAAATGATGGGTAGGGAAGAAAAAAAATAAATTGGAATTGTGGTGGGAAATGTCCAAAAAGAATAATTGGGGAAGCCATAAATTTGGTGGGGAAGCATGCTTGATGGAGGGAGAGGGAGAGGGAGAAAAAAACTCCCCCTCCCCGGCCAATTGCTTTTTAAAGCCGCGTGGGATGCCACTCCATTTTCAACATTTCATTCATTTATTTCTCTCAATCCCACTAAATTTCCAAAATCATCCCCCCCAAAAAAAAGGGTAAAATTGTCATTTTACATACATCATTACGATATATATATACATATATATTTATATATTTATTTATATCTTTGCATATCAATGAATGAATCATAAAAATACTTAATTTGAATTTCACATTAAACTATTTTAGATTTTTTTTTTTATTTTATGTCTTTGTATTTAGAATTTCTCTCTCCCAAATTTTGTTTGTATTTGCATATGTCAGAAAAGTATTTGTATATGAAAAGACATAAATGTGAATTTGACCAAAGGCTATTTTTTTTTTTTCAAAAGAATATTGATGCATCCAATACAATACGTACCTAAATTTCTAACCATTCTATAATTACTCTATTAAAAAAAATAAGTTTAATGAGCAAAAAAAAAAAAAACACCCTTTTATATACTTTAAAAAATTAAATATTTCTCTTAACCTTTTATTTTACTATTTATTTTTTTTTAAATACATCGTGTCATATATTAATTTTATCTTAAATAAAAATTAAAATATAAACATCTATCTTAAATTAAATTAAAATTCATATAATCGTAAAATCAAAAATTAGTTACATAAGATTTGATTTTAATATTAACTCTAAAAATTATGAGATATAATGGAGTTTAATTACACGGGTTAAAGTGGTATTTTTCATAATATTTACAAAAAATCCGAAGCTTATTAATTTAAGTAAAATCTCAAAATTACCCTTTTCAAAACCATAGCAAATCACATACTCCATGGATAAAATAGTAATTTTGCTACACATTTTTTTTTTTTAAATCAAAACCCACGTCGCGTCAATTGATTATGGCGAGGAGTGGGCACGTGGCTACAATTTTCATCCATCATTAAATCTTTAATTGCTCGATTAAAGTTTATTAAAGATGTTTGTTGTTTTTTTGAATGTAAATTTTGGCTCACTTAATATATATATATATATATATATATATATATATGTATATATATATGTATGTATGTATGTATAGCTAACATGTAAGCATCACCCTCACTATCCCTTGTTCCCGGCGCCTGTAACGGCAGTCACTATATTTTAATTTTCACATGTCACCATCACCGTATATGTACATATATATATTTATATTTATATATATATATATGTATATATATGTTTTCAAAAACATTGTTGTTTATTTTTGAAGTTACTCAAAGAAATCCAAGTGATTTTGACCCAAAAGTGTACAGATTCAAAGTTTTGATTTTTGTCTAAAATAAAATTAACATATATTATGATATATTAAAATAATTATTTTAAGAAAAAATAATAAAATAAATATAAATTCCACGTGGCACCAGCACATGGTACTATTGATTTTATATGTATATGTATATATATATATATATATAAATCCATGTTACATGACAGGATGTCACAGATGGACAAATTATTGTTACCCATTATAATTGTAAAATACAATAATAATATACACAATAAAACAAGTGTTAATAATTTAACATACATATAAAGATAGGATCGTATTAAGATATAATTATATACACCTTCGATTTTGAAAAAGAGAGTTTGATTTTTAGTTTCTTTAAATATGAAATCTATTACGTTTTATTTGTCCCGAGCTAATTGTGGGATTGATTTTTTAAAAATTGCAAAATGTATATATATAACGGGTCAAATTCAGACGGATTTTAAAATTTTAAACTTGAATCCATCTCGACCCTCCTCTCTATTTCACCAATCCCCTTTTTGTCCCAACCATTATAGCATGTTACCTAAGACATAAAGAGTGTAATAACTTGTCACCGGCAATTTATTCAAATTCCAAACTTACCGTTCTTATTCGAACTCATATTTTAATAAAAAAAAAAAACTATATCGGATCAAATTTGAAAGAGTCATATGAAGTGGATTATGGTATAACATGTCATCTCTAACTGTTCTCCTAAGAATAAATTTAATAATCTCTTATCAATTATTCTTAAACCAAATATTTGGTACTTACATACATTTTTATAAAGATGCAAATTCAAAGGTGGATTATGTGTTATATGCATCTACGTTAGGAGGTTGTATAGTTAATTACATGCAACTGTCACTTGAGTTTTAAAGAATTTTACTAAAAAACTCAGTCATCTCTTAATTTTAAACTAAATTGTAATATGTAAAATATACATTCCTATTATTATTTTATCGACAAAGATTTTAAAGATAATAACTTTTTAACTATGTAAAAATCAATTTTTTGCGTTAATTGACCATATGTTTTAATTTTAAAATTTATTTAAATTAATTTTTTCTATTATATTAAATAGAACAAAGTTTAGCGACTCAAATATCACAATAAGGGACTCGATAGGTATCTTTTTACTATCAACTAATCGAGACAAAAAAAAAAAGATGTGGATTTCGAACTTCACAACAAGGGACTTGAAGGATTTTGCTGTTGGCAAATTGAGCAAAGAAAAAAGAGGTGTAGTTAATGGTAGTTGGGTAAATTAGATCTGAGTTTAGCGGAAAGTCAAAAGGCATTTGAGCATTTGTAAATGCTTCTTTTGTAAAGTCGGATCTAGGATTTTAGGTGGTAATTCATTTAGGTTTGAGGTTTATGCTTGTTTTTTGGTAGTAGTATTAAAAAAGACGAAGAGATAAGTAACAGAATATCGATAGGTATATATTTTCTATTTTGGTCGATGAACTGTGAAGAAAATAAGGAGGTTCAATGAAAATCATATATTTAAGGCAATGTAAACTAATATTTTAGGTCTTATCTTAGCTACCATCATATGCTTAAGGCTTCGCTAATCCACTAATCCTTATAAGCCTCTAATTGTTACTGTCAATTGCATAAAGAAATAAACTCAAAAAGATCACGTGTTGATTTAAAATAGGAAGGAAGGCTTTAAAGTTCAAATAAAGTTTCTTTAAGTCCTTATATTATAGAAACTCCTCAAGAAATTCATGGTGAATATATAAAACTTTTCGCTCTTTTATTCTCTCTTTAATTTTCTTGTTGAAGATATTTTGATTAGTAGATGGAACTAGATTTTTAGTTTAGTTTGTGAAAAATTTGTAACGAAATTATTGTACTGTGTCTGTTATTTGTTATTCATGAAAATTTGAATATGTCTAGTAATGTGTTTGTTGGATAACTTTATATGTGTATATATTATTAAGTGGTTGTTCTTTTGACATATGTAAATAATTCTCTCAATAACCTTAAAGTGGGCAACGACATTAATGGTAGCAGCATCAGTTAATGAAAAAAGATTAATGGAGATGAAGATGGAAAAAGTGTGATATGAGAAGTTGATGATGGGATAAACTCTTTTTTTTTTTTAATTTTCCAAACAAGACTTTAGCAAAATTGGTATTTTTTGTTTTACCTAAACTTTTATGAGCACTTGGCTTCCATAAATTAAAACAATTCAGTTTGTCTTCACTTGTAATTTTTGGTTGGACTCTCCTCATAATCAATGTTTCCTCTTGATTTGGTTGATGGAAGCAAAACATCTAAAAGGCTTCACCTTTTCAACTTGAATACTTAAATATGAAGATTATCGGCTTTGAAAAAGCATTTCATATAACCAAAAGACTCTTGAACTTGACATATAGAATTCTATAGGTACAAGAGACTCTATTAGCATTTGGATGGATACATTAATTCCTTCATTCTCCAATTTATAATTTTCCCCACCCTCAAATCCCCTTCTCATCTAGGTTAGCCAACCTCTTCATCACACCTTACAAAAACTTGAAACTCTTTCCTTATCCTTCAATAATGTCTGATTATTCTTGAAACATTAATCCGTTCCTCCATTTCTTTCCTAGATGCCTTATAATATAAACTTGATACATGACCCAAATTCATTACCCATTAATATCTTAATTAGTTCTTCCTTTTCCTCACCACGACATCGAGACAAAATGTTATGATTAGAGGGCTCTATTGAAATCTAACATTTTACTTAGGCATAAGTTTTTTTATTTTGTCATGTATGGTTTCTAATCCTTCATATGTAAGATGCGTGAAATTGATACTGACTCGCTCAAACATCTTTCTTTTGGAATGTCCCTTCATCAAACTACTTCGGTTTCAATCGCTATAAGGAATCAAAATAAAATACTTGTATTAGAAGTCTATTACTGCATGTGTTACTTATTTTACTT